TAGAAATGGCCAGTGAGAGTAAACCCGTGAGTAAAGAGTCATTTCTTGTGAGACCTAGCGAGGTGAAACATGCCTTGATTACAAAGCAGTCCTTTGGCTAGCCATACTAACCCTGAGCCGGTTCTACCGAGCAAAATTTCTGATGTCTTGCAGGAATTCGCCGATGTTTTCCCGGAAGAAGACCCAGGCGGTTTACCACCTATCCGAGGGATTGAGCACCAAATCGATTTCGTACCTGGAGCATCCCTTCCCAACCGGTCCGCCTACCGCACCAATCCAGTCGAAACTAAGGAGTTACAAAGGCAAGTTGATGAGCTTCTGGCCAAAGGATACATCCGTGAAAGCATAAGTCCATGCGCCGTGCCGGTATTGCTAGTGCCTAAGAAGGACGGGACATGGAGGATGTGTGTCGATTGCAGAGTCATCAATAACATTACGGTTAAGTATCGACATCCTATTCCTAGGTTAGATGGCATGTTAGATGAGCTTTATGGTGCATGCGTATTTTCTAACGTCGATTTGAAAAGTGGATATCACCAAATTAGGATGAAAGAAGGTGATGAATGGAAAACGGCTTTTAAAACTAAGCATGGTCTTTACGAGTGGCTCGTCATGCCATTTGGACTCACCAATGCACCTAGTACTTTTATGCGTCTGATGAACCATGTTCTTAGGTCTTTCATAGGTGTTTTCGTGGTAGTTTACTTCGATGACATTTTGATTTATAGCAAGACCCTAGATGAACATGTGTTGCATTTGAAAAAGGTGCTAGACGTGCTTAGACAAGAGCGGCTTTTTGGAAACCTTAAGAAGTGCTCCTTTTGTACGGATAATGTTGTTTTCTTAGCTTTTGTGGTGAGTTCGCAGGAAATACAGGTCGATGAAGAAAAGATCAAAGCTATCCGAGATTGGCCAAGCCCTAAAACCGTTAGTGAAGTCTGAAGCTTCCATGGTCTAGCCGGATTTTACCGACGCTACGTCCGAGGCTTCAGTACTATAGTCGCGCCCTTGACCAAAATCATCAAGAAAGAAGTGGGATTCAAATGGGAGCAAGCTCAGGAGGATGCTTTTCAACTCCTAAAGCATAAACTCACCCACGCTCCTTTACTAATCCTGCCTGACTTCCTTAAGACATTCAAAATTGAGTGTGACGCCTCGGTGTGGGAATAGGAGCCGTACTGATGCAGGAGAAGAAACTCGTGGCATTCTTCAGTGAAAAGTTAGGTGGAGCTACCCTTAACTACCTGACGTATGACAAGGAATTGTATGCCTTGGTCCGTGCTTTGCAAACTTGGCAGCACTACTTATGGCCAAAGGAGTTTGTAATTCACACAGATCACCAGTCGCTCAAGCACCTAAAGGGACAGCACAAGTTCAACAAAAGGCATGCTCGGTGGATGGAGTTCATAGAGACCTTCCCGTATGTCATCCAGTACAAGCAAGGCAAGAAAAACATTGTGGCTGATGCTTTGTGTCGACGATACGCTTTGATTACCACGTTGGACGCGAAGGTGCTTGGTTTCGAGATGATAAAGGAGGCATACCTCACTGATCCAGAATTCTAGGAAGTATACAGCGCTTGTTCAAAATTTGCCAATGGCAAATATTATCAAAGTGATGGATTTCTCTTTTACGAAAACCGCTTATGTATACCTAACACCTCTCTTCGTAATTTACTTGTTAGGAAAGCACATGGTGGTGGACTGATGGGGCATTTTGGAGTAGCCAAGCCCTTAGCGTGGTGCAAGATCATTTCTTTTGGCCGCACCTGAGGCGCGATGTGGAACGTATCTGTGGTCGATGCACAATTTGTAAGATGGCCAAAACCATAAGCCAAGGCCCAGGTATGTATACCCTGCTTCCCATACCTAGTACACCGTGGACCGATATTTCTATGGATTTTATCTTAGGATTACCCCGGACTAGGATAGGTAGAGATTCGGTTTTTGTGGTCGTAAATAAGTTTTCTAAAATGGCTCACTTTATTCCTTGCCATAAAAACGATGATGCTTCAAATGTGGCTGATCTATTCTTTAAAGAGATCTTCCGTTTACATGGGGTTCCTAGAACCATTGTTTCAGATCGGGACACTAAGTTCCTTAGCTATTTTTGGAAAACCCTTTGGTCAAAGATAAGGACTAAGTTATGCTTTTCGACAACATGCCACCCCCAAACCGATGGTCAAACCGAAGTAGTCAATTGAACTTTGTCAGCTCTTTTAAGGTCTGTGATTAAAAAAAACCTTAGAATTTGGGAAGATTGCTTGCCTCACGTTGAATTCGCTTATAATCACTCGGTTCATTCAACTACTATGTTTTCCCCTTTTCAAATTGTGTACGGTTTTAACCCACTTACACCACTTGATCTAACCCCTTTGCCTATGAGTGAAAGACTTAACATAGATGGCAAGAAAAAGGCTGAATTGGTCAAACAGTTGCACAAAAAGGCCAAGGAAAACATTCATAGGAAAACCGAGCAGTTTCAAAGAAAAGCAAACAAAGGACGGAGCAAACGTGTGTTCGAGCCAGGCGACCAAGTGTGGATCTACTTAAGGAAAGAACGATTCCCTGAGGAACGGAAGTCAAAGCTATTGCCCAGGGTCGATGGACCGTTCACAGTTCTAAACCGGATCAATGACAACGCTTATCAGATCGATCTTCGAGGTAAGTATACGGTCAGTTCTAGCTTTAACATTGCTGATTTGGTTCCATTTCTCCCAGATGGACCAGACTTGAGGACAAGTCCTTTTCAAGAGGGGGGAATGATACGAGCATGGAACCAAATGACAACCTTGAAGCCAAGCAGCCGGACTGGACAAAGAACACGGACAGGACGCAAGACAAGGGACAAGACCCGATCAACGACCTGATCGTTCCAAGTGGGCCGATGACACGGTCACGCGCCAAAAAGCTATCAATGACCGTTTGGAGGTTATGTTCCGAATTATGGGTCAAGAACTCGGACGCTACACCAAGTGACCAAGCTGTAACGCTTCTGACCTACTCGGACGGTGTAGCTCTTTAATACTCTTTTTCCTCAGACCTGGGTTTGTCCCAATGGGTTTACCGGGTGGGGTTTTAACGAGGTTAAGGGTTACACCAACTCATTATCCGTAGTTAGTTAGTTAGTTAGCCGTTACAAGGGAGACGAAGGATCACTCGCGGGAAAGAGCCGAAACGTCAGTCAAGGGAGCCGAGTGGTCATTCAACTAGTCTTAATGTTTTCATTTAATTTCTATGTCCTTTGCACTTCTCTTTCGCCCCTATATAAAGGGCCAAACTCTTATGTATTTGCTATTCCCCTTTTTATCAAATATTTTCGAGATTTTCTCTTGTTCTTCTTGAGTTTTTTTTCTTTGGTGGTTAGCCTTGAAAGTTTCTTCGGTTTATCGAGTTCAGTCCATAGAATTCGACGCAGCCTCTATCTTTCATCTTGTTTCCAATTTCGTTCAAAGTAGTTTAGGGGCAACAGGATATTTGAGACTTGTCTCACGCCTGTTCATCCTATACCCGCGAGATCTCAAACTCGGTGTAATCACTGTCTCGATCTCCATCCGTTTTCATGAGTTGGGCCTAAGGAATTTTCGAGATAACCTCTCACGCCTTAACATCTCTCCGAGCAACTGATTTAGGCCGAGTCCTATCAGCCTCCACTGATCTAGCAAGTGCAAATCCTTGGGAGGATCGTATCACATACTCAGTATCCTCGTGAATTAAACCCAAATTGTTCTTATATCCATATAAAAACATGGATCGCAAACGACATGCAATGAAACGCTCAAGTAGTAGGCTTCACCTGAGTTAGGGTTACAGTTGGCTATAATACTCGGTCTGGAGTTGCCGCAAAGACGAGGATGTCATTGACGTTTTTACAATCCCAATCCCAATGGGTCAGAAATTCAGAATATATATACGGTATGGCTTCATAATAATGCTTATTACACTTCAACCAACCTGTAAATTTATCATTGTAAACACCGGCATAAAAACATCATCTTCTGTAAAAACGATTTGAGATGGAGGCAGATGATATGGCAAAATCTGAGGATCACGGAGGGGACGATTGCTAGTCGCTACAGAAAATTCATAAATTTTGAAGGAAATAACTATTAGGCAATGGATACATAAGAAGAACGTCTAGAAGCAGAAAGAATCATTTAAAGCTAGAACTAAAAATTAAAAACATAAATTTTTATTTACCTGACGATTCTATTGTAAGGCGAGAAATAAAATATTTAATCAGCAAAATATGAACTATAAAAATAGTAGATTTTCACTACGGAAATATATAAACAATAGTGTAGATCAATTTTAAAAAAAAGACATAGATGAATATTTAAAAAAGATGCTACACCTTAGAAGATAGATGTTGTTTTTAAGAAAATACGAAGACCGAAAGAACTATATATAGCACGATGGATATGTTAGAATTTAGGTTAGTATCAACTTTGATATCGGTGGCTCATAATAAAAATCAGTGGCTAAGGCCGACTTTGAGATCGGTGCCCCATAAACAAAATCGCTGGTCTATAATCAAGAAAAAAACCATATCACGGATATTTATACTTATGATTAATAATCGACTTATCAGAACTAATTAAAATACCACATAATTTTTTTTTAAATAATGACACGTAGGATAATTGTGGAGATGACATGACCATCAGATTTTGACCTTATTAAAAATAGTATAGATGTATGTTTTATAGTTATTATAAAAGAAAATTTTCTTTTTGAAGTTGAATTCCAAGTATACATTAGAAAGAAATATAGTTGAGGTTTAGCAAACTTCAAAAAGAAAATGATTTTTGGAGAAGCCTTTAGACTACAAATGCTTTAAAAAATTAATTTGATTTTTGAGTCCAGTAGTATAGGCCTAAATCAGAGCCCATTTTCACCGACGTGTTTTATAGTTGCTAACCAGCTTCACTTGATCGAAACGCATCGTTTTATCGTCCGATTTTGTGTTTTTTTTTTCTTGAAAAAAAAACGAAACATTAACCAAAGAACGAAACAAAAAAAATCCTTCGTTGAGAAGCAAGAAGGTCTTTGTAATCTTCTTCGTTTTTTGTCTGCTCCGTTCCGACGACGCTTTGCGATCGATCTTCAGTGATCAATCGTTAACCAGCTATCGATCATGTCGATGCTCGATTCGTTCTTCAATAAGGGCTTTAAAGCTGCAAAATGGTATTCTCTAGATTTCATCTGTTGTTTTTTTTTTTTTGTATTTTCTGGATTTCGCTAATTATCAATCTGGAAAAATGAAGAAGATTCTCTGTGGATTTGTTTCTAATTGGATGAGTTTGAATTGTAGTAATTGGGTTTTCTTTTGTGATATGTACACAGCAAAACCTTGCTCAAGTTAACGATACCTCGGATTAAGCTAATCCGGAATCGAAGAGAAGCTCAGATTAAGCAAATGCGCCGTGAAATCGCTAAGCTTCTCGAGACTGGTCAAGAAGCCACTGCTCGAATTCGAGTAATGGTTTTTTTTTTTTTGCTTTAGTTTAATTGGATATTTTTTTTCTTAAGGAATTTTCTTTTAACTCTTTAGTTTTCTCTTAGGTTGAGCATATTATAAGGGAAGAGAAGATGATGGCTGCTCAAGAAATCCTTGAGCTCTTCTGTGAGCTAATAGCTGTTCGTCTTCCAATTATCGAGGCTCAAAGGTTATAACTTTCTTGAAATGTTTCTTAACTTGGGTCTGCTCTTCAATGTTCTTGAGGGAAATTCTGAAATTCAAAGTCTTCTCTGTCTTGGATTTTAGATGTAACTTCAAAATGTCTCTTGTCTGTTTCTGACTCTTCTATGTTCAATCATTGTTGCTGAGTATTGTAGATCCTTTTTTTTTTTTGAAATTTTGTAGGGAATGTCCTCTTGATCTAAAAGAAGCGATATCAAGTGTTTGTTTTGCTGCGCCGAGGTGCTCTGACTTGACGGAGCTGCAGCAGGTTCAGATACTATTTGTTTCCAAGTATGGAAAGGAGTTTGTTGCAGCTGCATCTGAGCTCAAGCCGGATTCTGGTGTCAATCGTAAGGTAAGTCGGAGTTTCAAGAAAAGTATAAAACTGCTATATTAGACTAGCATGTAGAAACTCAGCACTGATCTATATGAATACTTAAATTTAGAATTACATGTCCGCATGTAGAACTAGTTTAACTGGTATTATTAGTCTATCTTGGGGAAACAAGAAATGGGTTCATATATTTAATGTTTTTCCAAATCAATTTTACAGTTAGTGGAGTTGCTTTCTGTGCGTGCACCTTCCCCAGAGACTAAACTGAAACTTCTCAAGGAAATTGCAGAAGAACATGAGCTTGATTGGGACCCTGCTTCTACGGAAACTGGTCTCTTTAAATCGCATGAAGATCTCCTTGTCAGTACTTCTCTCTTCGTATTTCCTTTTTATTACTTCTGTGTCTACATATAAACGGGTCTGGTCAGAACATGCCAGGTGCTTTGTTTATGTTTGCATCAAACCCATGGTTTTTTTTTTCCCTTCTCGGACCCCTGTTCTGCGGGCTTGAGTTTCTTTTTGCCTCAGCTTCTTTGTTTTTCCTAAATTGTCTTCTTCTTTTTTCAGGATGGACCAAAGCAATTTGGTGGGGGCTCTAAGCTGCCATTACAGGAGGAAAAAGATGAAAGGTCACGTTTGACCATGTTATCTTTCTCACGTCCAAAGGAACAATCAGATTCTGACTCGGACTATGAAAAATTGGACTTTCCCGAGGTTCCAAATGTCTTGCTGCGGCCGACTCCTGGTGCAGGTGCTACCCCAGAAAATGCACCGGTGGCAGCAAAATCTGCCAGTCATGAACATAACTTTCCCGACTTGCCCTCTGAGTCAGAGAATGCAAGAGATGAAAAACCGGCCTCTAAGAGAGATGAACATCCTGCTAAAGCAACCAGCACTGTTGTGGAGGGCCAACAATCTTCACCCTTTGTTTCTTCACAGTATGTGACAGAATCTGACTCCGAGAAACGGAACAGTTATTCTCCACCATCTGTTGATGTACTAGGACCCTTATCTACAAAAGAGAGTGGTGCTTCGAGAGATGCTTCAAGGAAAATTACCGATGTGGACTTGCAGGATGTCCTAACGGCTGCACAAGCCGCTGCTGACTCAGCGGAACGTGCAGCAGCAGCTGCTCGTTCAGCTGCAAGTCTTGCACAACTCAGAATCACTGAGCTTACCAAGAAGACGCCTGATCAGTCTCCAGAAAGTCCGAATGAGAACCCTTTCCATTCAAACCCATCAGAGACAGTGGAAAAACCGCAATTTGATCATCAGAATTCTTCGGCAAGCAGCTACGGAGATCTTACAGACTTCCAAATGACAGGGACTTCATCACTTTTTAGCCATGAGCGGAACAACCACCAAGCAGAGAGACGCCCTTCAATGGAGAAACCACAGTTTGATCATCAGAATTCTTCGGTCAGCAGCTATGGAGATCTTACAGACTTCCAAATGGCTGAAACTTCATCACTTTTCAGCCATGAGAGGAACAATCACCAAGCAGAGAGACTCCCTTCAATGAAAAAACCGCAGTTTGATCATCAGAACTCATCAGTTAGCAGCTATGGCGATCTTACAGAGCTGCAAAGACCAGAGACCTCATCATTTGACAGACTCAGCCCTGAACATGACCACCAGCAAATGAGACTGCCTTCCATGGAAGATGATCCCTATTACTCATACCCTAATCTGTTCACATCGCAGAATCCTGATCGCTCACCTGGCTCTCGTTCAATCTCAGACAATACAAAACCTGCCCATGATTCTTGAGTCTTACCTGCAAATGTTATATAACGCAAGCTTGGTGTTTTTCAGTGTGTTTCATTTCTGCTGTTCCTTATCTTGTGGAACAAAGAGCTCAAATCGTTTATTGAACAGCCTTTTTCTTCCTCTTTATTCAGTGGAAGATATGTGTAATGTATAGAACTTGGTGTGATTGATTAATGTTCAAATAAAGGCCTTTGTTTGCTCAAGAAATGAATAAGGAATGATGATGGACAAAATTGCAGCGAACACAGATTTGTGGCTACTTTTTTTTTCCTTCACCAAAGAACTAAAAAGAATACAGAGAAGTGACTTTTCTTGAATTTTTTTCTCTGTTCTTTCATCGTTTCTGTTAGACAAATTACAATGTCATTATCTCGGACCAGACAACTCAACAGCATGAAGATTTTCTGTAGAATCAAGGATCCAATCAGAGGTGAGATGAGAAGACAGTTCCACTTCTTGCCTGAGAACTTCCACTTTCTGCCATTCGTCCCATTTCTCAGCCAAACCGTCACCTTCAAGCATTCGAACAACGTCAGACATTTTAGGTCGTTCCATAGGTGAGCCTTGTGTGCAGAGAAGAGCCACTTGTATGAGCTGTTCAACTTCTGCTTCTGTATAATTGCTCTGCAGATCAGGATCCACAAGCATCTCCAGTTTCTTCTCCTTCAAAAGCCCTTTCACCTGAGAAAAGATCAAATGAACAGAGAGATTAGCTTTGAGAGTAGATACAGAAGTACCCAAGTATATGCCAAGAGATCTGTGTTATACCCAATCTAGAAGCATAACGTCATCGTCATTCGCCAGTCTTGCAAGATCAAATGCTCTCTGACCTGTGATCAGTTCCAAAAGCATGATCCCGTAGCCAAAAACATCGGTTTTCTCTGAAGATTTTCCGGTTGAAAGATACTCGGGAGCAATGTGTCCAATAGTCCCACGAACAGCCGTTGTCACATGTGTATCTTTGTAATCCATAAGCCTAGCCAACCCGAAATCGCCTACCACAGCCTCAAACTCCTCGTCCAACAATATATTAGCAGCTTTCACATCACGGTGAATGATTTTCGGATCGCAATGATCATGAAGATAAGACAAACCCCTCGCTGATCCTAGCGCTATCTGCTGTCTTATTGGCCAGGCTAGTGGCAACTGCGATGGTGGACGCTCTGCAATCATTTCAAGAAAGTTCACTCATTTCAAGAAAATATTTGGACTTGATGACATAAACTGTTAAAATTTTGAGGTTACCTCTTAAACAAGAAGCAACGCTTCCATTAGCCATGTAAGGGTAAACAAGCAATCTCTCGGTAGGTGTCATACAGAAACCGCGTAGCCTGAGAAGATTTCTGTGAACAGCCATGCTTATCATCTCCACTTCTGTCTGAAACTGGAGCTCTCCACCTGGTGTACGCTCTTCTTTAAGCCGTTTGACTGCGACGAGTGTTCCATCAGCGAGACGGCCTTTGTAGACTTTTCCAAACCCACCTCGGCCCAAGATGTTCTTGTTGCTGAAACTATCCGTTGCTACTTGAAGTTCCCGTAAAGAAAACCGCTTAAGTTGTCCCAAGTGAACCTCAGGGTCCTCTTCCGCTGCATCATAGAACCACAAAATTAATAAACAATTCTGTAATGAAACAAAGCTTAGATATTGCAGAGTCATAGACTAACCAGGAACATCAAAGAAGAATTCTTGAGGTTTTCTCCTACGCCACCAAGCAAAAGCTAAAGCAGGGGCAGCAAATAGCAAAGCAGCACCAGCAGCAACTCCTCCCGCAATGGCTCCAGTAGAACTATACCCACCTTAAAGAAAATTTACAGAAAAGTAGTCAACAACAAAATAGACTGATTCCAATCAAAATCCACTAAAAACTATGCAAAACACCAACACATGCGTCCACTTATGTTTCCAAGCATGAGTGAATGTTAAAGCTCTAAACTTTACTGTCTGCTTCATTTCATACCTTGAGTTGGAACTGTGGGAGGAGGGATAAAAGGTGGAGGAGGAGAAAATGGGGGAGATCCAGGACAAGGACGGCTAGTAACTGGGCCGCATAGATCCAAGTTGTTAGCAAAACTGCGCAGAAGAACACAACTTGTGAGCTCAAAGCGCTAATAGTTTCATATCCACGAATAAAAGTTATAGATCTTTGGGCAATGTAGTATGTCTACTGATTAAATTTAGGTAAGATGAACTCAGACTTTATATTGCATAACCTCTTGTACTTGATCCTAACTTATAAGATCTTTTTGTTCTAGTATGTAGAGAACACAAAGAAGTAGAGAAATCTATAGCCTCCCGGAACCCATTACAAGAGTAAATAACGTTCAATAGTATGGATTCCATCAAACCTGATTGGAGTAAAGAGCGAGAATGAACCATTATCAGGAACAGATCCAGATAATTGGTTGTTTGATAGATCCCTGCATTATTTGCAAGACATTAAGGAAAATTCAGGGGACCTATTAAGAGTGAGATGTTTCAAAAGAGCAGAAAGTGAAGTTGAATTAGTTATACTCACAAAACTTGAAGAGTGGTGATATTAGTCAATGACATGGGAATTGGTCCGGCGAGACTGTTATTGTTGAGCCGACTATCCTTGCAACAAAAAGTCATACCACATTACCATCTTCCCATACTATAAGTCAATCAAACAACTGTTTTTTGATTAAATCATTTCAAACAAAGCAAGACATTGAGCCGGTGCATGATGAGAAGAGCAGACTAGGAAGATGTTCTTACAGAAAGCGCAGCTTGAAGAGCTTTCCTAGAGAGTCTGGAATCGGACCAGTGAAGTTGTTCAAGTAAAGATCCAAGCTCACTAAGTTCGTTAGATTCCCAAGATCGCTTGGAACTGGTCCAGTTATGTTATTACTATAAAGTTCCCTGCAATTAAAGAGTAGCACACCTTCAGAAGAATATTAACAATTTACAATGACAAATGACTATTGGATAATTCCTAGCATAACAAAATTCTGCTTAATCGGCTAACATGTTGATAAATTACAAGTCTCTGAGCAGAAAGCAGTTGAAAGCAAAAACTTACAAGTACTGCAAGTTCTTGAGCTGGCCAAGCTGAGGAACCAATTGACCAGACAAGTCTGCATTTCCGAGATCGCTGAAGAAGCAAACAAATAAACAAGATTAAATAAGCTAAACCACAAAAACAATGGTGCGGTCTGGTGCACGCAGAGAGAGACACTCACACTCTTATAACACTGTTTTCATTGTTGCACGTAACATGAAACCAAGTACACGGATTAACAAGTGTAGGATCCCAGCTTTGCAATACATTGTTCGGGTCAATCAGATTAGCTCTCAAACTGTGCAGTGCATCACCTGTTATATCAAAAACACCAAAAGCCTAAGCCTTTCACACAAAGAGGTAAAACATATCAAATAAACATACAGTTATTGTTCCAAAAGTTGACTTTAACAACACAGAAAGCTAACGAATTAGACTTCCGAGTAGCAAAGCAACCATTTCTCTCTAATTTTACAAGCAAACTCCATTTTCTGGTGAATCTACAGAAGCATTTAGCACTCTTAACACAAGCATGAAAAAAAAATTCAGTTCAACTTCTTAATGTGTTGCTAGAGACTGAAATCAAAATTTCCTGTTTATATCAGATAAAAAAAAGGCACTGTGATATGTGAAGGAGTCTAATCACAGACTCATAAAATATCTATACAAAATTTGAACTTCCAAAAAGAATCAGGTTCTGAGAAAGTAAAAAAAAAAGTTCTTTTAAGTACAGCGACAGTGTCAGATGTAATTTCTGTCCTCATGTACCAACGAAAGTGATAAGCAGGCAAAAGTAATTACATAAAAAACAAAATTTTTTAAAATGTGAAGATAAGAAAACAGTAATAACCTTCCATGTTGGAGGAGGCAAGCCATAATGGATTTAACAGAAGCAGTGAGATCAAGCAGACAAGACCAAAAGCTTCAAACTTTTTTCGCTCCATTTTCAACAAAAAGAAACTCAGATCCAAGCAAGACCCAAAACCTCCATGAAAACCCCTTCAAAGAGGATATAAAACCCTAGCTTCCCCAATCCCAAATCAAACCATACAAAATTCGAGTTTCAGAGAGAGAGAAGAGAGAGAAGAGAGAGAAAGAAGTTACACTTGATTTGCTCTCATTAATGACACAACAAAGAAAAATGCCAAGGAAAACAAGTGGTAACAGCTACAAGAGGTAAAAAAGGTGTGAGATTTTGATGGGAAGAGAAAAGAAAATAAAAAGAATTTAAACGAAAGCTTGCCTTTTACAAATCTTTGCGTTGCTTTTCAGAGCGAAAAAAGGTTTAGACTTACTTCATTCTAAAAAAATAAAAAAATAATAATAATAATACGCTTTGCGTCTGTGGTTCTCTTTCAACAGCCGTCTCTCTCTCTAAAGCCTACTCTACCAGTGATGGGCTAATTCTCTCTCTCTATGGAACCAGTGGAGAGAGAAACAAAACACCCTTTACAAATCACATTTTTTTGGTTTTAGACTTTTAGTTTCCTTTTTTCTTTCTTTCTTTGTCAACTTGTTTAATTTGGTTTACCAAAACAAAAAATAAAGCTGTTTCATTTCAAATTATTATCACAACTACGGGAAAAAGACAAATTACAGTCACAATTTTTGCTTACCAAATATGTAAAGGAATCACCATTTCTTGGCAAAACTCAACATTTATGGACAAAAATCGTAGGTGGTCACTGAGATGCAATTTTCTGGTTTTCAGTCAAGAAAACGTGATTCGGTCATTTTTATTAGTTACTAGGTATTGTCTGCATGCCGCGGACACAATCAGCATACAAATCTTATTATAATTTGATTTTAGAAATTCTTGTAATATAATCATTATATTTTTATTTTCAATTAATTGAGACTAAAATATTGTATAAACATAAATCACAAAAATACTAAATATCCATTACTATTATTTTAAATCGATTAATATCAATTATATATTAGATTATTTAAAATCGTATGTACCTATTAAGTAATATTATAATAAACGACTACTAAATATAATTAGTAATAATAATAAAAAATAATTAAATTATAGATGAAAATATAATAAAAAGAAATATTAAAATAAATAATAAAATCCAACACACAAGTTTTAAGTTATATAAATACTTATACAAAAAAATTAAGAGAACACTACTCCATTAAGTATTATTATCTATATCTGGTTTAGGAGTGCTTTTTTATCCTTGTTCCGACTTATCTAAAATGTACTCCACCTCTCCCGAATCCTGGAAGTGTAAGAAACATATACATATTGTAAGGTTGTTGTATATACAAAATTCTCCAATTATCATTTTCATATTACTTACTTTCTCTTAAAAATCAGGGCATCATCAGTGTTAAGATCAAAAAGAAGACAGGAAAAACCAATTGCTTCATGTGAATGGATAGTTATTTCATCTACACGCATAAAATGATTAATAGGAAATATACATGCAGTATAAACATATATGGGACAAAATGAAAATAATAATGACATATGCTTGATTATCCATATCTTCTTTTTTATTTACACTCCAATCGGTTAAAACAGAAACCGCAAAAGGACCAGTGAATCCTTTGGTTCTTTCTTTGATATCAGCGGTAAATTCTCCGTATGCGATACATTTCAACTTCACATCCCTTTGATTTAAACAATTTAAGTTACAAACTTTGTTACCAAGACATAATGATCATGAGAGAACATATAACTTACTCGAGATCTTTGATGTTGAAAGTTATTTTCTGAACAATCTCTCCATCAGGGTTATTTTCTGTTTCAATGTTGCTAACATTTTCCATCACACCAATGAGATCTACAAATCAATTATGAGAGAAAATTTTATCATAAATGAACTTCATATATTTTTTTCTATATATGTACAAATTTATAGATGAAAACACTAAAAAGAATATTATAAGTTAATCTTACCAACATGATACAACTGAGCGTAAAGAACTCTGTATATCTCACCAAAAAGGACAAATTTCATAAAGGGATCCATTGTCAATGGTCGTAGGCTTGAAACTTCTGTCTCAGTAGTGAGAACGATCTGATAATCGTGTCTCGTTGTCCTTCCCTCATTCTTCCATTCAAATGATGTCAAGCCGAATTTATACAATTCAAACCACAGTCCTTCAGTTCCAACACAGTAAAAATATGGAAAGGCGAGGTTACCACATGAAGCATTAATTCTGCAACCCTATATACAATGAATTTTGAAAAGAGATCAAACAAACAATAAATATAGACAAAACAGTTATATACTCATATTAGATAATACTTACATTTTCGTCGACTAAAGTGAAATTCATCCCTGGTAAGCTTTGTCGATCAAGTTTATTCCATCTTTTCAAAACTTTGACACGGATTTTCCAATCTCGTCTCGATGCATGTAACTCATCAACAAAGTTATATGTAGCCATGAGGATAATGTTTTGAAAAAGTATAAGAAATGGTTGGGAAGAAGGATTAGTAATTTAAACTGAAATTAGAATAAATTATTATTTATTAAGTATTGCAAAACAGACTTGTAAATACCAAAAAATGTGTCTAACAAAACTAATAATGCATCTGGATTATCAATTTTGAATCCTTATACTCGGTCCAATCCATTAGACAACATCTGTATCCAGTCCATCTAATCTCTCCCTAATCCTGAAATTTTAATAACAGAAACAGATATACATAAGGTTGGCAAATTACTGTTACGCAATTTAGACAGATCTAAATATTGTTTTTTTTCTTCATAAATCAATTTAGATAACACAGAGAAACATACTTACCTATTGCGCAAGGTTAAAATTTCAGCAACCGGTGAATCAATGATAAAACGGGACACACCATCATCATCATGATCCTTGATAGACACATTCTCTAAAATATATATATTAGAATATTGTTACATTATATACTACGATTTTATAAATAACATATTGATATATCATCAGAAAACAAACATACCCCCGTCAATTGCTACACACCAATCGGTTAACACACATATAGCAAATGGACCTTCGTATTCTCTACACTTATCTCTTATTTCAGTTGCCAACTCACCGTGTGCAACACACTCAAGCATAAATTTCCTATATTTTGACAAACAATGTAGTTAAGAATTAGTTAGTTAGACTTCAAAAATATAGTTTGAAATATCCTTACTCGTCATCTATTAACTTAAATCGAATTGATGATGAAGTCGTTCTATCATCTCACAGCGTCTCCAAGATGCATAAAGGTTTATATTTCAGCAATCGGTGAATCAGTGATAAAACGGGACACACCATCATCATCATGATCCTTGATAGACACATTTTCTAAAACATATATATTAGAATATTGTTACATTATATACTACGATTTTATAAATAACATATTGATATATCATCAGAAAACATACCCCCGTCAATTGCTACACACCAATCGGTTAACACACTTATAGCAAAGGGACCTTCGTATTCTCTACACTTATCTCTTATTTCAGTTGCCAATTCACCGTGTGCAACACACTCAAGCATAAATTTCCTATATTTTGACAAACAATGTAGTTAAGAATTAGTTAGTTAGACTTCAAACATATAGTTTGAGATATACTTACTCGTCATCTATTATCTTAAATCGAATTGATGATGAAATCATCCCATCCTGATCACAGCGTCTCCAAAATGCATAAAAGCTTTTAGCCATCTCACCGGATAATTCACAACTCAAATTAACACCACTAAATTAAAACACGTCACACATAATCAGCTAGACAGGACAAATAAAACGATAATATACAGTTTTAAAACACTCAGCAGACAGTACCGTTTATCCCTCAGACAGAATGTTACAGTTGAATATGCACCTCATTTTTCGGAATCATATACATCCTTACATGGACTGCCATAGGAAGGAACATGATGCTCTCCAGAGAGTAAACCACACCACGTCCCAGATCGACTTACATTTAAGACCCGACCTATCAAATCTTCATAAACAATAAAAACTAAACCATATTAACATCAGCAACATAATAATAACGAAATTCAATATCTAAACCAAAAATAAACACACCAACTAAATAGTCATCATTATAGGCACGATCCAATATCCTTTGAAAATCAACGAAGTCAAAATAAGTGTTTTCACTACACGTGAAGTCTTGTCAATGATAATTGATGGTAGGAACAATATTTTGTATCTATGAGAAATCAGTCTACAACTATCCTCTCACTCAATAACAGAAAAACGACTGATAATAATCCAACTACCAACATCTATGCGAGACGCTGCGACATCGATCTCACGATCTCTAACAATGGCCTGAATTTTAACACTCTGTGAATAAAACAGTCAATTAGACATCAACACAGTTTTATAATATTTTTTCTCATAATATAATAAATATTTGTTCATCCGATAATATGAGCTCCAGGGAAGAACGTTTCAAAATTACCATATGCACCCATCTGTAAAACCTTAACAAAGATAGTACAACCATCTTTGGAAGGTCTCCAACGGGACACACACCCTCCAAAACACATTGAACCAAGAGAAACTGTATAAGTACACACCGAATTCTGGTGTCCCGATATACTAATATTCTTTTCGATGAGTATATCATTCGGTTCGACGTTTTGGTGATATTCACTATCATCGTCACTCTCAGTCTCATCATCCAACATAACATCTTCATCATCATCCTCATCATCATCAGTCGAATCAGCATCGTCATCATCTTCATCTTCATCATCACCATCATCACTATCACCTTCCGAGTTATCACTTGAACCATCAGATCCTTCACAAGACTCACCGTCGTCAATAAAACCATCTTCAGAATCGTATTCATCTGTTTGGTCCATATCATCGGTATCATCGTGCGACTCGGAATCAAACCCCATGTAATCCTCAAAACCATAATCACCATCAGTACCACGGCCAGATAGCACCTCGATATCATCAGACTCATTATCTTCTGCATAGATAAACATATGAAAAAACAACGTAGTTAGAATTTAAAAATAAATATTTTAAAAAAAGGAAAAAATTGTGCTCAAAGCAAAAAACGAACCATTGAAACCATTAGATTCTTTATTTATAATCCAAGCCTTCCTCGCAAAATCCCAAAGAAAGGTCTTGTGAGCATGATCGCTCGAATCAACATGATCAGAACCTAAATACACAAAACGAACATCAAAACAAACATAAACACATATAAAAAATTTAATATACATTATTAACAAAATTATATTACAGGAAGAGCAGAAATACCTCATTTGATCAAAAACTTCTGATCAACAATAGATATATAATACGCAGAATCAAGATCTATATAAAAAATGAATATGTTCGTAGATTAATATATAGTAAAGATACAAAATTGTAAGATTAAGATACAACACTACGAAAGGTACAAAATTGTAAGATTAATATACAGTACTACGAACCTTCGATTACAGGATTATATGTCGGCAATGTCCACTCGTCGATAGCAAGATCCATAAGTAACTTGCATGGATAACCTAAAAATACAAAATAATTACTAATAAGTATTATAACTTGCATGAATAACCTAAAAAGGCACAACAACCTTTTTTGTGATATTGACGAAAACGTATGGAGTTACGTAACGATAATCAGATATCTCTTTTTGATCCATATCCTGGCGATATGAATTCAACATAGATCTTAACTCGTGAGCATAAGCCTGGTTATCAAAACCTATGGACGAAAAAAATTGTAGAATCATTAAAAACGTAGAGAGCATATATATTATTATTAATTTAAGGAGAGCTAGATATATACCCGAAGCAGTAGACGAAACTTCCCAAGTAATCATGACTTTCGATGGATGATTAAAGCTGTACTTAGACGAATACATGGTTAGGTTTGCATGCAAATAGACAAACATGATGAATCTTTTCTAAAGAGATCCAAAAACTTAATGCTATTATAAAAACCCTAGCAAAATAAACACGGAACTCTAACAGAGAAACTAAACTGTAAATTATGAGACGATTGTTTTAAAACACTCATATTTATACGTATAAACAACCTAGGGTTTATTTTTTTTATGAAAAATAGTAAAAGGTAATTCTTGTTCTATATACGATATTATCTTCCCATGAATTTTATAGTTATTAACTATAAAAAATGTAAAGATTCCATTCTAGATAATAACAAAGGAAATTATGACATATTTCCATTTGCAAAATATTTAGCAAATAAAAATTATTTCCAAACATTGAATTGTAACAAAAATCTAAAAATTAAAAAAAAATCTAACTCCATGACTCGAACCCGTGAGCTTTTGCTGAACGGACAAAGTACCTAACCAACACAGCTACCATCTCATTCAGTGTAAATGATATATTGGAAGGTATGTATAATGTTTCTGTATTTCCACGTAGAGTAACCAATCGCCAAAACCCTAGAATAAAACGTAAAAAAAAAATAGTGAATGAATATAAGCGGAGGCAGAAAATATTTATTTATATAGAAAACGATTCCGGGTTTATGTGTTTCCTTATTTATTTGTTCATTATTGATGTGATCAACTATTTCGTTATAATTAGCATAAACATGGGCTTGTGATCACTTTTCTCTAGATCTGACCCACAATTGGTTAAAAAAATTGATTTAGAATGAGAGAAATTTAGAAAAAAAAAACACAATTAAATTAGTCTAAGATTTGAACTTGCTACATATGACATAAGAATTCAGATCACTAACCATTGTAGTTTGTGTTATTTTTTTGTTAACCAATCAGCAATTAAATAAATATTTTTATTGTCGACAAAAAAATGGTATTATTCCATATATTTTCTATGGGCTCTACTTCATGTTTTGTTGTGTATTAATTATGAAATATTTCCTTTTAATCAGATTTTCTTTTTAATTGCAGAATAATCAGTTGACCAATCAGAATTGAGTATTTTCATTAATGGCATAAGTGTAATTTAACACCTTCCACCAAAACGACAGAAAAAATAATAATAATTAATTTATATCAACCAATCAGAACATAACATCAGCTGACCAATCAGAACATAAGGAATTCATTAATCAAAACGACACAAAAATTTGTGCGTTAAACCACAGCCCGATTCACTTCTTAAATACTATAATAGATTGTATTCATCAAAATTGTGACGTCTTTGGAAAGTGATTATGCCATAGATTACAAGAACTTTAAAAATATAACTAGGCAAAAAAAATGAAAACATGTTAATCTACTAAATCTAGTTGAAATGTTTAATAAATGTTTTAGGAAACTCTTTCACCTTTTTTTATGTAGTTTAATGTACTGGATATAGTTATCAAATTAAACTCTTTCATCTTTTTTTTTCCTGATATTCTACTATTCACCTGATATAAAATCCAAGTTCCTAAATTTTTGTTATCAAACTAGAAAAATATACTAAAAGTATCACTTCGGCTACACAAAGTATTAGCCAACATTAGTCAAAGTATGTTAATTGTTATATCCACACCACATTTGTTATATCACTATCCAATTTTTGTTTTGATCATTCTCAACAGTTTGTTATGCATAATTTATTTGTTCCACATGAAGTATATTTGTCCGTATGATCTGCGTGATATACTTATAAGTAGCATCATACAAGTTTTAATTTTTGAATTCATATAGCTACAATTGTTTTCAAAAAAATTATTAAAAACAAGTAATTTATAACGACTTGAACAAGAATCTCATAACAATTTGAACAAGAATTTCATAATGATTCATCTGAGCTCATAACGCTCTACAACAACCTCGAATAAAGCATAAAGAAGATACAAAATATCTCATCCTCTATTTATATCTCCTGATCTTGAACACTTCTCTTTCTCTTCATTTAATCCAGCTCCTCACTTGTCAGTTCATCTCCTTCACTTTGTTTGACTTGATTGTTCTGATCATTGACTTTCTTCCTTCTCACATACACATGATGCAACTTATCAATCATTAAGAGCAAGCTTGCCCTCAAACTTGTGGTGTGAAAATTGCTTGCAAAATTCTTGTGAATTAACCCAAATATCATCATGTGATCGAGCTCTTTTCCAATGAATCAACCATTCCACATCTCCGGTAGGTATATAACGAGTTTCTAACACGTCTTCCGGTTCTAACACCTGCTCATCAAAGTCAAAACTTGTAGAAGGAAGAGGCTGAACTGTGTGATCCTTACCCACCACAGCCTTGAGTTGGGAAACATAAAATACCAGATGGGTTTTAGATTCCACAGGTAATTTCAAGCGACAAGCCGCATTTCCTATCTTTTCCACTATCTTGTAAGGACCAAAATATTTGGGCAGCCAACTTTTGACAGAATTTACGCACTATTGTTTGTTGTCTGTACGGTTTTAGCTTCAAAAATACTCAATCATTAATTGTAAACACCACATCACGCCTATGTTTACTTGCACTAGTTTACATGATTTGTTGAGCCTTCTCCAAATGCAGCTTGATATAACATAATATCTCATCTCGTTCTTTCAACAATATCTCCAAATCAAAGTTAGACGTCGAGCCAGTCTCAAAACGTACAATAGACAGTGGTGCTCGACCGTAAACCACCTTAAATGGAGAATCTTTCAGAGCGGTACGGTAAGAGGTATTATACCATAACTCTGCCCAGAAAAGAATTTCAAACCATGTTCGAGGTCGTCATGAAGCGAAGCATCTGAGGTAGGTTATGAGGAAACGATTTAACACCTCTGTTTGACCATCCGTTTGCGGATGAAATACAGTGTTGTACTTGAATTTAGTCTCTGCAGCACGAAACAGCTCCTTCCAGAAACTACTTAAGAACACATGATCTATGTCTGACACAATCGATTGTGGAAAGCCATAAAGTTTGACAATCTTGGTCATGAACTTATGCGCCACATCAGAAGCCGTAAATGGATGTTTGAGCCCCACAAAGTGATCATACTTACTCAATCTATCTACTACCACCATAATCACATTCATTCCTTGTGATGAAGGAAGGCCTTCAATGAAATCCATGGACAACTCATCCCATACTCTTGCTGGAATTGGCAGTGGTTGCAGCAACCCTGCAAGAGATAGAGTGGAATACTTGAGTGTTTGGAAAATTTCACATTCTGCAACATACTTCTAGACCCTTTGGTATAAGCCTTCCCAATGAAATGTTGATTGAAACCTTTTAATTGTCTTCAACACACCCGAATGTCCTCCTACATATCCATCATGAAATTCCTGAAGAATAAGTGGAATGAAGATTGTTGATACCGAGTATCACACAAGATTTTTATTGATTTTATAGCTGAATTCAATTTGAGCTGCCTACGTACCCTAAAGTAGGGATCAAGCCATTTGTAGTTCATATTACAAAGGGAATAATAAGAAGAATGTGTTCTAGGTTTTCTGTGGAGTTGTCGATGTTGAATTCTCCTCGTCTCAATGTAGAGCTCTTGTATTTATAGGTGTTAAAGCAGGTCGCTTTTCTTTTTCTTTCTGAACTTGATATTGCAGATTTCCTTATTTCCCGGAGTAGATAAGAACAACTTCCTTTTTTTTTCGGGGAATTATATTCTAGGAATTTCTTTTTTGCAGATAAAATTAGGAAATATTCCGCGAAAATCAGATATTCGGCTTTAGAAGTCTGGAGGCTGTTAATGGGTCGAGTATTCTTCGGATATGAACCATCGTAAATCGGGATCAATTGGGCCGATCTTAGTTTATATCGGGCTAAATCGGAGGTGCGGAGTACACCACCAACAAAGATTGATGTTTTTGGAATAACCAATCGGCGTTTGTACCATAGCTTACCATCAACCAACTTGTAATTCGGATTCACTGATTTACCCGCTGAAATATTGTTCATGATCTCTTGAATATTCAAGTCACCCTCAATTTCTCGATACAAATCTTGCAACTGTATAATTGCTGGAATCGTTAGTGCTAGCAGCACTGAACACATTGATGTATTAGTACCCATTTTAATCCTCGACAGTCCATCTACAGCCTTGTTTTCACAACCCAGTTTGTAAAAATTCTCGAATTCAAATCCCAAAAGTATGGTCAGCCATTTCTGGTACTCCATGTTTACTTCCTTTTATTTCAGTAAAAACTTCAAACTCCTCTGATCGGTATGTACCACAAATATTCAGCCTAACAAATAGTGTCTCCACTTTGAACAGCCATCACAATCGCCATTAATTCACGTTCGTATGCTGGTTTTAGTTGTTCTCTTGCTGTTAACCCATGACTGAAAAATGATATGGGTCGACGATCTTGCATCAATATCTCTCCCAAACCAAACCCTGAGGCATCCGACTCGATGATAAACACCTTCTCAAAATCCGGTAAGGCTACTATAGGTGCTGAAACCATAGCTTCTTTAAGGTTATCAAATGCTTGTTGTGCTTATTCTGACCAGGAAAATTGATCCTTTTTTAGCAACTCCATCAATGGTTTAACTATACTTCCATAATTCCTCACAAAACGCATATAATATCTTGTTAACCTGATAAATCCACACAACTGTTTCACTGTTTTTGGTGTCGGCTACTGCTTCATTGTTGTTGTTTTAGTTGCATCTGTAGCTACTCCATCCTTTGAGATAAAATGACCTAAGTATTCAACTTGAGTTTGGCCAAATAAACATTTTTTCTGATTAGAAAACAGTTGTTGTTCTTCAAACACTTTCAGTACAGTCTTGAGATGTTCAACATGATCAGATAAACTCTAGCTGAAGACCAAAACATCATCGAAAAATACTAGTACGAAGTCTCGCAACAAGTTATTGAAAATTGAGATCATAAGGGCTTGAAACGTGGCAGGTGCATTTGTTAGCCCAAAAGGCATAACCAGACACTCATAGTGTCTTTCTATGGTTCGAAAATCTATCT